TCGAACGAACTCCGATTTTGACGAACTTTATATGTACAGACTCGTGGCGAGATGAGGAATCCGTTGGTGTGATTTTCGGAATTTTTCGAGAAGTGGGCCGGGGCTCGGATTTTACCAATTTCGTGAATTTTAGTACTTTTCGAGTATTTTTGATTGGGTTATGTTTCTTTAACCTATATTTATGTATTCATTGTGATTTTGACTAGATTCGACGTGCGAGGAGGTTGATACGAAAGGAAAAGGCATTGCGGACCATTTTACGGCCGGTTAGAGGTGAGTAGTTGGTGTATATGATGGCCTGAGGGTTTGAAACCCCGGCTTATCACATTGTGACGCTATTGTAGGGCGTGACTCGCACCCCATGGCAGGTGCGGGATTGGTTATGACTGGGGATTGAGACTTAGTCCATCCCGAACAAGAATATTTCTATATTGGCGACTGATATGCACCCTGTATATTGAATATATCTGGGCTTATTGCCGTGTTTGGGATCTTGTGCCGATCTGTAGCATCCTTAGAGGATGATTGTCATTGTGATAGCATGCTTTGTATAATCATTGATCTCAGTCCTGTGTTTAATCACTGTTATGAAACGCTAAGTCACTTTTTCTGAAGTTAATTATCTAAAGTATATTCTCCATAATAAATTGGAAATTGGGAAAATAATTGAATCTGTTCCGTGACTCATATGCATATTGTGGACTGAGTATGGATCGCGCTGCACGCCGCAGCGAATGATATGATTATATTGCGCTTGGGCTGAAAGAGCCCCTCCGGATTCTGTACACACCCCCAGTGAGCGCCTTCGACATTAAATGGATCGGGCTACGCGCCGTAGCGGTCATGTGCATTGCATTGCATCTTTACATTATACTTGACTGATATATTTGGAGTTGTTTTGCTGTTAGTTCGTAGTGAGTAGTTGATTGTTAGTTTTAGCTTTGCTTTGTGGTATTTCGTGGATTTCTTATCTTCAGACATTTTATATGCTTATTACTCACTGAGTTGGTAGTACTCACCCCTACTCCCTGCACCTTGTGTGCAGATTCAGGTACTTCGGGAGCTAAGTTGAGCTAGCCGCTGGTTTCCAGAGTTCCAGGAGTGGTCGAGGTAGCTGCTATGACGTCCGCAGGACTCGACTCCTCCCTTATTCCCTTATTATTTCCGTACTTTAGAACATACTTATTTTGAGGATTCTTGACTCTGTATTAGTTAGAGGCTCTAGACTCATGACCCCAGGTCTTTGGGAGTTACAGTTTATGTCAGTATTTCGTATTGTTTTAATTGAGTATTTCAACTATGAGTATTAATATTTGATTTGAAGTATCTGATTAATTGGTTTTGAGCTTTGTGCTCGGGTTGAGAGAGTAAATGGTCGGGCTTGCCTAGCATTAGTGTTGGGCGCCATCACGACCGGGTTTGGGGTCGTGACAGCTCTCCAGGTGGGCGCCTGATTGCTGAACATAAACTGTATTCCCGTGCTCTCCAGGTGGGCGCATGATTGCCAAAACTTTAATTGTATCCCCGTGCTCTCCAGGTGGGCGCCTGATTGCCAAAACTTGAACTGTATTCCCGTGCTCTCCAGGTGGGCGCCTGATTGCCAAAACTTTAACTGTATTCCCGTGCTCTCCAGGTGGGCGCCTGATTGCCAAAACTTCAACTGTATTCCTGTGCTCTCTAGGTGGGCGCCTGATATCCAAAACTTTAACTGTATTCCCGTGCTCTCCAGGTGGGCGCCTGATTGCAAAAACTTTAAGTGTATTCCCGTGCTCTCCAGGTGGGCACCTGATTGCTGAACTTGAACTGTATTCCCGTGCTCTCCAGGTGGGCGCCTGATTTCAACAAAATAGACGAAACAAAGAAAATTTTCTGCCCCAGTTTGGTAGCTGGGCACATATGTGAGTGTAAAACCGAATCATGTTACCAAATATCAATAAGAATTTGAAAGCTAAACCACAATGACAGTTGTAAAGCTAAACTATATGTTCTAAAGGTATGACTTCCGCTAAATCTTGCTATCTAATGAAAATCTTCAAAGCTAGGTCTCATTATTCAGGATGGTCCTGAAAACTCCTACTTGAATCCTATCTCAAACATGCAAACTTTGGAACCAACTTATATTACTTTGGGGTACATTTATACTAGATTTTGCTACTCATGATTGTTTTGAATTTTAGACTAGGTCCCATTTCCAGGAGGGTCCTGAGACTTTACGGTCAAACCTGTCTGATGCTCGCTTTTCCCCTACGGAGGGTTTCTCCGAAACAAACAAAATTTTCGGCCCCTGTTTCAGTCAAAGAAAAATCTTGTCAGTTTAAAATGTGGTGGTTAGTTTGTGGCATTCTTGTTGAAGGTGGCCTATTCGCTGCCGTGTTTTGCTTTGCCTGGTTTTTCCGAACTGGCCAAGAACTGCTTGACTTTCTGACTGACCTTCACCCACATGACCTTGGATGACCCGAGTGTTCTATACCCAAACCGTTGTGTTACATCTCTGACCCATCTATCTGAACCTCTGCATCTCCCATGAAATTACTAAACCATTCCACCGATGAAACTTTCGCTGACCCTTTGTATCCCATTTCGCATCATACTATCTTTAGCAATTCCTTGACCGCCCTGTGCTTTGTGCAACTTTGGAAGTTGGTAGTGAGCTTTGAAATCCTTTCTTATTGCTTAAACGGAACTGACATTGGACACACTTTTGAGAAGTAAACCCAAAAGAAATGAAATGCAATGACTTTTGAGAGTTAGGGACAAGAAAAATTCAAAACTGGAAGACTGTCTGAAGGGGAAAAAGAAAAGAGACTTATCTGAGTGGAGCAGTTGGCACCAATGATCATGACATGCATTTCGGATTAATCGGCCCAGTCTGTCCAACCAATCAGCTTTCAGTTGTCGTGCTTATGCCCCGAGATCTTCAAAACCCAATTTCTTCACCAAAACCTTATCCTTGTTCGGCCTGCGGTGCCCCGAAGGGTTTTCACCAACAAACCTCTAACATTTGTTCATCTCTCAACTCACTTTCGCCTTAAGGTGCCCGTGAGGGTTTTCACCGATAAGACTCTCATTTTTTGATTTCTCTCGGCTTTCTATCGCCTTATGGTGCCCGTGATGATTTTCACCAATAAGACTCTCTCATTTAATTTCTCTCAGCTTTCCATCGCCTTACAGTGCCCGTGAGGGTTCTCACCAATAAGACTCTCTCATTTCCATTTTCCTTGTTTGGACCGGAGTGCTGCCCCTAATATGAATCACCTCTACTTGCTTGACATGGCATCTCTCGAAGACTGATCGGAAGGTCTTTCTTTGGACCGTAATGTGGGCTTTTGGATAGGGTTAGAAAGGATATCAAAAGGCTCAAAACAACTCGATTGGGTTCAAAAATTACAACTCTTGGAATCAGATTTCTTACAACAACCACAACTTTCTGCCCCAATTTCCTTGCTTGGGGGCTTTTGGATTTTTATTTTGATGGGACCGAACCGTGAGGCTTCCTACGTATCCTTAAAAGGAATCGGGTCGAACGTAGTTCATGACATGGAAATTGTTTTGTTGTTGTGATTTTCTCTTTTCTCTTTCTTTTTTTTTCTTTTCTTCTTCCTTTTCTCTTTTTATTGTTTTGTTGTTTTTTTCTTCTTTTTTTTCTTTTCTACTCTTTTTTTTTTAATTTTCATTTTTCTTTTCTCTCTTTTCCTTTACTTATCTTTCGCGCTTGCGTTTCTGATCTTTGCTACTGATTCCAAAAGAGGGGTATGAAAGGAAATAAATAAGGCTCAAAGGGGGTAACAAAGGATAAAGTATTTAGATAGCAGAACAAAATGCCTTCGTCATTCCAATCTTTAAAACATGCCAAGTACAAACAAACACAATTTAACCAAAGAAATCATACATAATATCTTTTGATCGCATCGGAATTGATAGCCATGTCTACACACTTGCCTTCTATATCTGTTAAATATAAAGCACCATTGGACAACACTCTTGTTACGATGAACGGCCCCTGCCAATTTGGGGAGAACTTGCCTTTGCTTCAGCCTGATGTGGAAGGATACGTTTCAATACTTGTTGACCCACTTCAAACTTCCGTGGACGCACCTTCTTGTTATATGCTCTTGTCATTCTCTATTGATACAACTGGCCATGACACACTGCTGCCAATCTTTTCTCATTGATCAAACTCAATTGCTCCAGGCGGGTTTTGACCCACTCAACATCATCAATTTCGGCTTCAGCGACAATCCGAAGGGATGGGATTTCAACTTTTCAGAATTAGCTTGGCTTTTAAGACTGGGCCGAAGATTCCTCATGCATGTCATGTCATTGAAACCAGCATAAAAAGAACTGTACAAGGAAGAAAAGAAAAACAAAAATAAAACTATCAGGAATGATGAAAAAGGGAAATTGCATTTCATTGAAATCAAAAGATAACAAGGTTTATACATCCAAACGGACGGAACATAGAATCTGAATTACAACCCTGGAATAATCCAGATAAATTGAAAGAAAATCAAAGCAAACTACCAAAACTCCTTCCGGGTAGGGAGAGGAGTAGCTTCCCAATTGTTAATCTTTGCACTTGGCCCGACAAATTGCACATCCGCCTTGCTAGAACCCTCTCCAACTTCCACCATGTTCACATCGTCGAACAACTTCTCGAACCTTTCAATCAACTCTTTATCAAGATCAACCACAGAACTAGGAACTGTTGTTACCGGGCACTTCCTGGTGCCTGGCTTGATAATGACGGGATCTGTGGGGGCACCCTCCACAATCACGACAGGCTTGTTCGCCACTCCCGGCACAACCACTTTTGCCCTTTCTTGTTTCGTTGCAACCTCACTTGAGGACCCCTTCTTGACTACCGCAGATGGTTCACTGTTTGTCCCGCTCGACCTGATCACTGACTTCTCACTTGATGACTTTTCAACCGGCCTGACCTCACTAGACCGAATCATCATGATGGTCTGTGAAGGCTTCTTGGGTTCTCCTCCTTTATGCACTAGCTCGATCATGTTTATCTCTTGATGGGCTGGCAGCGGGTTCTGGTTGATGTTGGGTGCCTCCGGAGCTTGGACTTCAATCCGATTTGTATCAATGAGCTCTTGGATAGCATTTTTCAATTGCCAGCATTTCTCCGTGTCGTGCCCCGGAGCACCAGAACAATATTCGCAACTTACAGAATAATCAAGATAACTCGGGGGAGGATTTAGCAACTTTGACTCGATCGGCCTCAGCATATCCAATTGTCTCAGCCTGTGGAACAAACTAGTATAGGACTCTCCCAATGGAGTGAAGGTTTTCTTCTTCTGCAACCTCTCGTTCTTAAATGCTTGATTGGGCCGGAAATCTGGTCTAGGAGGGTTTCGCTAGGCTCGTGGGGCTGGGTAGGCATTTTGTAGAGCTGGGTAGGTATTTTGTGGGGCTGGCGCACGCCATTGTGCGTGGGCGGGAGGTTGAGTGTATGTTTGGGCGTGGTGGACAGAAAAATGGGGGTAAGGTGGTGGGTAGTAGTGTTGGGGTGGATCATACGGGGTATGGGGGTAGGTTTGGTGGTGGGGTCGAGGCTGATTATAGTGGTGAGGTGAGCCCCTGGGTCCGAACCAAGCTCCTGAATCAATCGTTGCTACATCCTCTTTCTTCTTCTTTCCAATTACTCCCCCAGTTCCACTTTGAATGGCCTGGGTGATTGCCTTAATTGCCGAATAGCTCACGATTTTGTTTGTCTTGAACCCTTCTTCTACCATACCGCCCATCTTTACCACTTCATTGAAGGACTTGGCTATAGATGATACCAAATGACCGTAATAAGTAGGTTCTAAAGCCTGTAGAAAATAATCTACCATTTCACTTTCTTTCATTGGAGGGTCCACCCTTGCCGCCTGCTCTCTCCACCGGAAACCATACTCCCTGAAGCTTTCATTGTGCTTTTTCTCAATCTTTGTCAAGGACAGTCGATCCAAAATAATCTCGAGATTGTACTGGAAGTGACAAGTGAATGCTTGTGCCAGATCATCCCATGTATACCACCTTCCATGATCCTGCCGAGTGTACCACTCCAGCGCTGAACCACTCAGACTCTGACTGAAATAGGCCATTAGAAACTCGTCTTTCCCACCAGCTCCCCTCATTTTGCTACAAAAACATCTCAAGTGCGCCACTGGATCACCGTGCCCATCATACAAATCAAACTTGGGCATCTTAAACCCTGCCGGCAGTTGAACATCTGGAAATAAACATAGATCTTTGTAAGCCACGCTTACCTGTCCTCCCAACACCCGCATGTCTCTGAATGACTATTCCAGGCTTTTAACTTTCCTGAACATTTCCTCCTGTTCGGGATTTTTAGATGGTTTCTCAGTTTTCACAGGGAGATCAAAACGAGGAGTGTAGGAATAGGGTTCTGGAGCTTTGAAAGTGGGCTCCAGGGGTAATATTGGTTATCATTGGCTTGGAATTAGGGCTCGCTGGAGGATCTGTGGAGCGTAGCTGGCGGGGGTGCCACGAAGACAGGAGTGGCTGGTGGAGGAGGGCATGGAACTGGCTTGGGTGGTGGAGCTGGTGGTGTTTGGGAGGTGGTGCTCTGGTTGTGGTGGTAAATGGGGAAGCTCGGGGACGAATCGGTAGCAGGAGGTTCCTGAGACTGAGCCAATGGCGGGATGAAGGCAGGGTTGGCGGGGTAAAGTGGTGGAGGGTGCCCTTTTGCCCATGCTTGGTACATTTCGGCCATCTGTTGTTTCAGCTTATACATTTCTTCTTTCAAATTAACATCCGACTCTTCCACCTCTCTCGAAGGATCGATAACACTTGCATCAAGTTCTTGGTTGGCCATGGTCAACTTGTTTTTGGACCGGGTGTTGTATGGGTGAGTTGCCAGAATGCCAAACAAACTAACCACCTTCCTATACTGATGTCAACAACAAACTTGTTAGTGATTAGGGTTTAACAGGTAGGCAACCGCATATTTGGGGTATGAATGCACCTAAGCAGTTAACCTTTCTATTATGTATTTGATCGGTTGCTTGCGTCATCCCGGCTTTTTCTTATTTTCATTTGCAACTTCTCTTTTTTTCTTTTTCCTTCTTGCCTTTCTTTGGTTGATTTCTCTTTTTTTTCATTTCTCTCTCTTGTTTTGCCATTGCTTCATTCCCACGGCTTCTTATTTCTCTCTCTCTTTTTCTTTTCTTTTTTCTCTCTTGTTTTTCCTCTTTTCTTCTTCTTTTTTTTTCATTTTTCTTTTATGATCGAATCCTATGGAGATTGCCTACGTATCATAACCCCGCATGAATCAAACCAAGCGTAGTTCTGGGGATAAGTGTAAAAATAAATAATAAAATATTTTGGGATTTCAAATTTTTCCATAAGAATAAAACGTTTTGATTACAACGACTCAACCTACCGAATTTCAACCATAAAACTAACAGACTTGAAAAGGGAAACTAACAGACTCCAACAGAAAGATGAAAATACAGACTCGAAAACAGACTAACAGAATCCAACGAAAATCATGAATACATCAATGCCTCAATTGCTCCTGGGGCCCGTGGGACATCATTCGGTCTCGTCACGGGCCTATGCGCGAGATCCCCTTGCAACCGCTCCAAATCACTCATTATCTGGCGGACAAACGTCATCACTGCAGCGAAGAAAGTGGTACGAGTCATGCCCTCGCACGCTTGGCATTTCACAACAATGTAGTCAGCAATGGCTCTAATCCTCTCTCGGATTTTACCCTTTTCCTGAAGCAAACGCCCGACCTGCTGATTCCGGGCCTCTAACACCTGAGTGTCGTGATGGTTTTGGCTTTGCAACTGTTGTATTTCTTCCTCCATCTGAGCCATCAAATCATAACAGTGTTCCCTATCAGCTTTAAAGACTTGGCCTACTTGGCCGCCTCATTCTCAAGGGTAGTTACTTTTCTCTTCACATTGGTGATTGTCCCTTCATAATTCCTTTTCTTTGTTGCACAAACCATGCCCGCCCTTCTGCATTTTTTGCCAATTGAGCCCGGACTTTCGCTAGATTGGCCTCAGACTTTTCTAGGTCATCTTGACACTCAAGGGCTTTCTTTCTCAGACCGTTTATAAGCCTTTCATCCGCTCGGCTTCTTTCCTGGTTTCTAGCAGCTATTCTCATCTTCTGGATTTGTGCTTTGAGGGCCTCATTTTCCCGAGTTAGCTTTTTCTTTTCACCTTCATTTGCGGCTGCTTGGATACTGTTGTCGAACTTGAGGTCCCTGATTTGTCCTTCTAACTTATTTTAGCCCTATAGCTTTCTTCTTTTGCTAACCAGCCCCACTGCTCTTGCGAGTCGTTGGTGAATTGTTGGACATGAGCTCTCTTAGCAGGTCTCTCAGGAATCTGAAACCTTTTGCCGAACCAAATAACGTACTTGGGGTCTACCTCACCTCTGGCTAAATCCCGAACCATGGTCTTAGGTTCTAGAAATCTGTATTGATTCCACACCTGGCGAACCCTTCCTTTCGGAAATGCGGCCTTTGGTCCCAATTCTATGACATGTTTACTCAAATCCTCTTCGTGGGGAATGGTTTGAAGTCTGCCTAGTTGACGCAACACCCTGTGAGGAGCATACGGCTGGATGCTCCGGATGCCCATAAGGAGAAGGTAGCACACTTCAGCTGACATGTATACTGCTTCGGTGACAGGAAGCCATCCGAACGCCCACTCAATTTTATCAGCAGTCAAAGAACTCAAGAGTGTAAACCAAGCCTCAGTACCCTCAGGAAAGGCAATACCCATCACTCG